GTTGTAGCATCCACATGACGTATAAAAAATATATTATATATTTAAAAGGTCGTTGGTACTTAATATTGAGGGCCTCTACAAAATTATGATTTTCCCAGGCTGTGTTTTTCTCCCACTCCGCCACTGCTTACGACCCAATTGGAAACAAATATCTACAACATTTGGAAATTACTTCATTACGACTGCCAGCCACCAGAATGRCAGAATACGGTCTTATCATATTATTCCTTACTTCACATTTTGATAACTGAAATGTGTTATCAGTTATTATTTATATTGTTCACATCGAGATTCGAGATAGATTAGAATACTAGGTGGATCGATGCTGCATTGCAGCTTTGCAGCTATTACACTAAATTTATTTCACAGATCTGTATACTTTAATAGTTTAATCTTAATTTTTTCATGAATATAATAATTTTAAGTATTTATATCTTTGTTTATCCGCCATAGTTTATATAATTTAAACAAATTTACATTTTATGATTATAATATTTTATTTGAAATCAAATATTTATTCTATCATTATTTATTTTGTATCTAACGATGTATGATTAATGTTTATGTATGTTATACACGTATATATTATATCATAATAAATCATCTATCTACTATTTTTATTGTTTAACTCTAATGAATTATAATTACTGACTGACACTCAATAGTGATTGTTTGTGTAAATAGTTTTCTCGTGAATAAACAATTAGGTGTACAAAATTAGTTTTAATGTTTTATAACACGTATACTTGTAATTTTCTTAAAATATTCAAATAGATGGAAGAAYTGCCTGTGATATTAGATCATCTGAAATCTACCGTAGAATGTTTGTCTATGTCCGCTCAAACCAATACTTGGGAAGTATGTGGTGGCCTAGATCGATTACATTCAATTATGATGAATATTTTTAGTCATGGATGTATAGCGATAAATTCAAACGTAAGTAGAAATTTTGTGGCGTGCTTGTATACAATATGATTTTATTTAACCTTGCAACAATGTTTAACTATAATTTTTTAAAGGCTGAAGATGTTGTTTGGAATTTTATCCAAGGAATCAATTGGTTGCACCCAACAATAGCATCATTATACACATTGTCTAGAAATACATGCCCTAAAAATGAAAATTTGGATAAATYATCATTATGGATATATAAAAGGTATGTTATGACAAAAATTCATTCACTACCCAGTTAACAAATAAAATATAATAAACACAAATTATAAAATTTTTTGGAAATTTGTTAAAGTTGTTAACTGTTAGCTGGATGCTTATATAATCTACAACATTTAATTTAATGATACTTTATAGCACATATTCATGAATAGTTTGGTATTTCAGGTATCATACTTGTTATGACATATTTATGTATGCACCTATACATTTCTGGTTAAATAATATTTAAATATTTTGATATACTGCCCATTTACAAACAAAAATTCTAGTATAACTTCATCAATTTCAACAATTATTATTTTCATTTTTATTTATTTATTTTATTTTTTTGTTACAGTAGTATAGTATTTATTTTTATGATAAATGATAAAGGTTGAAAACTATATTTTGTTTAAGTTACAAAAAGATTTTTTTATTCTCAAAAATTTTACTTTTATTTTTTTTTTCATATAAGGAGTTGTACATAATAAATATTCTTCAAAAAAAAACCCAGATAAAGTTCTTCTCTTTCTTAGGAAATTTTGATAAAATTAATTTCACTAGTTACACTCAATAATATATTAGTATSCAACAATTTTTTTAAACTTATTTCACGAAAAAATAACAACAAACAGATTATAGGTATCTTACATAAGAGCTATTTTTGAATATTGAATATCTTTAAAATTATGCTGCATCGACTATAATGTTATTATGAATACCTGACTTACACAAGTTATTTTGTTAGTTTTGACTCTTTGTTACTATAGTTTTATACTGAGGTCCACCAATTAGGTTTGACGGGGTATTAGRCATTGATTGATATTCAGATATTCTACCTAAATACACCTAATCAGTGTGGGCTTTCTCACAATTTAAGTTATTAGAGTAAAATTATATAAGAATCTAGAATATTATCCATTGGAGATCCTATGTAATGTAACTAAATA